ACAAATAATTAGTTATAATTAAATAAAAACAATAAATAGGTTAAAAATAGAGTTTTGTTTTCAAATATGCTCTTATAATATATAAGAAAAAGAATGAAAGAGAATGTGTGGGAAAATGTGATATAAGAAAAATAAGTAAATGTAACATTAGAAAAAATGCATTAAATGTCAAGGAAACACAAGGTGAAGTTTGTAAAATGGATCGTATCTCTTCCCAAATTTAAAGCTTATATATAGAACCGAAAGAATATAATATTATGAATGATATTTTAGAAAAACTCATATGGCATATCTTAACCAATCTAAATCAATTAAATATCTCTTATATTGAACATGGAGGGAGTGTGTATATATATATATATACACACACACTTTGAAAGTAATTAGGTGAGTGGGTGCGACCAAGTGGGTTTAAAATGTAACCAGTTTGTTTATAAGTGGAGATGCCAGTAATAAGATTATGCACTCAGCTTGCCAAACGTTAAAGTCAACCTGGTTGGGGAACGTATATGGGACCCTATCAACCATTACCTCTTCCTGTCTTCCACGACAGAGACACCATTGATGCCCCGCCCTCCCTCGCTTCCCTCCCTTTCCTTCCCTTTCACAACAATCTCTCTTCATTCTCTCTTTATGCTTTGAATTTCTTAAACTACCAACTAACCCCATAATATTCCACCACCCTCCCGCTTTTTCGTGTTCTCACTTTTCCCCGATTAAATTTGAATTCAGTTTAACCAACCGTGATTGAGTTGAATATATAGAATGGGTTCAATTCTCTTCGAATCTCGTGAATAAAGATCATGCATATTCAATAAATTCATATCTGAGTTTGATAATATTTGGATTTGACTGTGGATGGTGGCATGGTATATGTAAAATACTACTACCTCCGGTCCTAATTATAAGAGCTAATTGATTAATTTGAGGAGATTAAAAAAAGAAGTTAAGTCAGTTATTTGTTATAAATAAATGTTATCTTTTCTAAAATTTCCTAAAATACATAAATATTAGAGACAAAGTAGATTGTGATCTTATATTTATGACTAAAATAAAAGTCAAACAAGATCTTATACTCCTCCGGTCCTTAATATAAGACCCATTTAACTAATTTGATTAGATTAAGGAAGTTAGGTAAGTTAGTTAATTATAAGAAAAGTGACACATTTTTCTTAAAACACCATAATCATCTTTCTTAATACCTCATCTCCCTCTTCTACTTAATTATGGCTGAGGGAGTATCCATAGGGGTAATTTAGAGAAATTGATAAATAAAGAAATAGCTCTTATATTTAGGACTAAAACCAACTCAAGAATTATGTCATATATTAAAGACCGGAGGAGTATTAAGAACTAGAAGTAGTATTTGAAATCACTACCCAAACGAGGTTCGCGCTCATCTCTCATGTTCTCTCTGATTCATGCATATTAATGGGGGAAAAACAATTTTTTTAAATCTCACAAAAAAAATTAACCTACATTCTTTAATATTGTTATTGCTCACAACTAATGCCTGTGAGCATCTTCCTTGCATATTAATGAAAAAATATATATATTTCCTAAAGTTACAAAATTTCCTGCATTTAAGTCCGACAAAAGCTTACAAAAAAATGTCCGACATAATAGAGCAGAGGAATCCACATCAAACATGGACCCGTACTCCCAAACTTTGTTATTGTGATCATGTTTAATTTAAGGCGTAAGCATGATTACAAGATGATGGATTACTAGGCGACCCAATTTTCAAAACCACGCATCATTATATTGTGCCACCACTTTCCAAGGTCACCCTGACGTTTGTTTATTTATCTTTCACATTTACTCACGCGTCTGCTTATGATCCACTAATATGTTTGTTTGTGATAATTTAATTTAAAGCGAGATCGAAGCTAATCATTCGTCCTTAATGAGTACGAGAGTGGTATGCAAAATTTATTATCTATCTGGCAAGACTTGTCCAGAGAAGAATTTAAACGGTGCTTAACTACCTCGTTTGTCAGAAAGTTAAGCAACCATCATGGTGTCTCGTTTTTGCCTTTGTCTAGCTAATTTAATTTCAGGCTGGAGGATAGTAAATCTTCTGGGATATCCAATATGATTATATTGTTTTCCCACCAACTAAATGATTCCTCGTATCGTGCCACGCCACTTTCTTTGTCAAAATTATGAACAAAGAGCAAGCAATGCGCATGAACACGAGGGCTTTTGGAGGATGGCGTGGACATAGCTGCTCTTCAAGCTTGACTTGAATTCACGCCTTTGTTTGGTTGTTTCAGGATTAACAATGCACACAGACACTGAATTACTAACGTGTGTGAAATAATATTGACCGTTTAGATGATAGTAGTCATTAAAAGAAGGGCAACACTGATGAGTAGTAACGTAGGCTATGCGTGACGCGCACCCACCATATTTTATTTAATTTTTAATTATTTTTTTTATTTTTAACCAAAAAAAAAGATGAAATCATTATTTTTTAAAAAATATTTGACTGAAAGCACTACATAAATGATGTGGATTTTTTTTAAAAATTTTTTTGGATGAAATATGACATGTAACAATATAATTATAATAACTAATAAAATATATATGTGTGTATGTATACGGGGTTGGGGGCTTAAAAGGGCCATCGCTACAAAGAGGGCTGAATTTAATTTTAAATAATCAGAACCTGTTAATTTATACTGCGCAATCTATATTATCAACTCTAACAACATTTGATTCCAGATTTTTTTTTTGGAAACAACATGGAGGAATGCGTACAAAAGTTTTGAGATGGTTGGATAAAAATAAAATACAATTTTAAAAATAATTTTATAGAATTTGAGATAAGCATGTGATAAAAATGTTGTCCTGATTTATGTAAAATCATATTTTAAAGTATTTGTGGGACTTCTCAAACACTCCATAGGGTGCTGGACGATGGCAAGAGATATTTCTGTAAATACAACACTAAACGTTCGTGGAAGTTATTACTCATATTTGACGACAAACGAATGTTTAAACATTTTTTACTGGAAAAAGAAAGAAAAAATGACAAAAACAACTGAAAATTTGTAAATGTTAATGAAAATTTATGATCATTTACAAATTTAGTGTTATCAGCACTAAATAAAATATTGTTACCAAACCTAATTGGAGATTTATCAATTTTCAGTTTTTTTTTTGTCATTGTCCCAAAAAGAAAAGGTTGTGAGAGAAAAATTAGCATTTATTAATGAAATCGCGGACCCCAAAATATCCTTGTCACGAGAAAGAAAACTTCTCTTTCGTTAAATTACGATTTTCAATGGTTGGCTCTGTCCCCGGCGAAAAACAAAGGTTAGCTATGTCTGAAAAATTAAACTTTATTACGTGGATGAAATTATCTTGCAAGATTGGCCATTTAATTTTTTTGTTTCAACAAAGCTTCTTGCTTCCTCTATATACGCATGCTTACAAAACACTACCCAAAATTTTCTGTAAAAGAAAAAATGCTACCTTCTGTTTTTAATACAAATAAAAATTCAATTTGATTCTAAATATAAAACTTTAATTCATAATATTTATTTATTTTACCTGCAAATAATTTTTATGATAATTATATATGTTAAGAATTTTTTTTATTAATGAGTAGTTATATGACAGCATCTAATGTGACCTCTAGCGATGATTAAAAAACATTAAACAACATCCTTACATTCATATATTAATTTTGAAGAACTAGCGGATTTACATATGCGTTTTGGTTTTTCTTTCTCGTCAAACTAGCATTTCGGCTTTAAATGCATCTCAAGAGTTATTTCGTCTAGTACTTAATATAAAACTCAATCAAGTAATTCAAAAAATTTAAAAAAATTATTAAACTATTTAATTATAGCATATGTTATATGATATCTTTAAAAGATTTATGTAAATCATTATATTATATATTAATTTATAAATGAGACAAATTAGTTTGAAGAAAAAAAGATAAATACAAATAGTTTAAAATAATTTAGTAAATTTCTTAATTTTTTTAGATTAATTAACTGAGTCTTTGACAAAAAAATATTAATTAATTGAGTCTTATATTAATATAAATGGAAATAGTACAAGGTTTTAATTTACAATTTTTCTTTTAATTCCTTACCTCCAACATCTGTTTCTTCCCTTGTCATAAAAGTGGATGTCTTTTTTACCCTTTAATTAAAAAGCAGGCTGCGATTGTATAGGATTAATACAATCTTTTGTTTAATACATTTACATTAATTTTAATTTTAGTTTTTTAAATTTTAAATTATGAGTTTTGATCCTAAATCAAAGTAAACTCTGACGTCAAAAATATTGCATGTACAAAGTTGCGATGACCTGCGTTGCGATCCACACGAGTTATTAATTATTTACCCTTATACATAATATGACATCAAATTCATGATAAACTTATTATTCACCTGTCAAGGTGTGACTTGGATCATATTTCATGTAAAACACGAATTCTTCTTTTTCCTAACATAAAAACGCAAATACACCCACAGTCTGTCAAGTTAATGCATAAAAGAGGGAATGATTTGTCCAAAATTTTTTTTAATGTCCAATGGATACTACTGGTTTTATAGAAAGGTAAAAAATACGGAATTAAAAGGTGTTTGGAACGCCCCATAATCACTTTTCAGAAGTATTTTTTCATAAATCAAGACAGATTCATTTATATATTTATTTCGTATATCGTAAAAATACTTCTAAAATCATAGTTTTATTTTTATCTAAACATTTCCTAAATATGATTTTGTCTGAAGTTATTTCTCGCATCCACTGAATGAAAAATTGAGCGCGACCATGGGCAAATCAAATGCATCGGCTTCATATGAGAATGTAGATATACATCGATATCAATGACTATATTTTTACAGTCATTCGTGCATTTGACCTTCAATAACTATATAGGAGTTTAAATCTCGTAATTATTATTTTTATTACATGTTTTATTTCTCTCTAAACATGAATCTAGTCATAATTTACGTTCGCTTAATTAACAGCGAAATGAGAATCTAGACTGCAAACGAGAAGTTGGATAAAAATGGTGGGCGACTGAAAGCGACATGGTTTTGGGCGCCTCGTCAAGTGTTTCCCGCATCCCCCACCACCAAACCCCGCCTAAATTGACTCCATATCAGCCTTCCTGTGTCAGCGGCTCAGACCCGCGACGAAGAAACACAGAAATGGCCTCCACTGCAAAAGATGACAAGTCAAGTAAGTTATTTTCTATTTTAAACATTCATGCTCAGTCAATTTATCCCGAAGTCATGTTTACTATCAAATGTATTCAGGTTCACATTCTGTTTAGTTTCTTAGTCAACTAAGGATAATTCAGACAATGTTCGACAGTTCAAGATTTATGACTTTGAAATTGATGCTTGGCAAGATGTTTTCCAAAATTTACCTTGCATCGGTTTAGATTTCAAATTTATGGCTCGGAATTTAGCTCAGGCAGTTGGCTCTAGACCCATATTGTGGCACTGTTTGAATTTTGAGGTTCTTTTTACAATTAAAGAAATCCTATAGTCTATGGAAGTAGGAAAAAATTACTTCATGATCGATACAGATGGTCATATCTTGTCGTCATGTGGCTTTGCAGGATCTGTGAAAAGAGTCGCTGTTGTTGGAGCTGGGGTAAGGTAATTTGGCTTAAATCTTTTTCTAGTTCAAAGCTCACTTCATAAATTGTCTAGTTGTCTTGATTAAAGAAGGAATGATAATGAGGCTTCTTATTCTCAAACCGGAAAGGAGTTGGCCCCTACTTAGCCCCATTGGACTTTAGGAGAAGAAGGAAATGATCAGACACAGGCCAAGCAAGTGTCCCTTGGATCAAATCAGGCAGAATTGACTAAGAACCTATATGTACATGAGGATATGACCTTCCTTGATTAACAGATTCCTAGCGGTGATGGATTAAAAGTATGAGAAGGGAAACTATAGCATCACCTTTGTAGCATAATGGCATATTATATCGAATCATATGAACCAATTTCTAGAGCTTCGGAGCTGTTTCACCTTTCCAATTTGGATAAATTAATATGATCAACTGTATCATACCATTTTTCCTCAGGCATTTATTTATCTGATATTTTGAACATTTATGGACATAACTATGGCTAATTTTGTTCTGTGATGCCAAGTGGGCTTGCAGCGGCTTACAAATTAAAATCACATGGGCTGGATGTCACTGTATTTGAAGCTCAAGAAAGAGCTGGAGGGAAGTTAAGAAGCGTTTCACAGGATGGCCTAATTTGGGATGAGGGAGCAAATACAATGGTAAATTTACCTGTTGCAATTGGATTTACGTCCTTTAAAATGCTGAGTGTACTTTAGATATGAATTTGTAAATGGACAGCAATTTATGAAAATGACTAATGGTCTGGTTTGTTACTTATGTATGGATCATTGCCTAAGGACATATACTCCGTGAAATATTAAACCATTGTTAATTTCATTATCAGTTATCGATGTGCACCATAGTCTGAAGTTCTTCTACTCTTGAGGAGACTGTTCCATAAAAATTTGAATTTGTTCCACACTTGCTTCTAATGGACATTCTTGCTATAAATTGTTAACAGTCAATGCTGCATGATGTTTGCTCTTAAGTTTCGTTCATTGGTGCAGACTGAGAGTGAAATGGAGGCTAAAGCTTTGATCAATGATCTTGCGCTTGAAGAAAAGCAGCAATTTGTAAGGATCTATTAATTAACTAGATTGCTATTTATCCAAGACCATGCTATCAGATACCAGAAAGCTTTCTGTTTTCATTTAATATCTCTTAAGGCAATTATTGGACGGGATCTCATGATGAATGATATTTTTTAACAGTTAATTGTTGATAGAGCATCATGATATTATGCAATTCATGTAGCTGATTTCACTTAGTGGGATAGGGTTTATTTTTGTTGTTCTTGTATTTAATGTCCAATACTTCAAAATATTTAGCTTGAGAGTCCTGGGCGCCTTTAATTGTAATGTTTACCAAAATTTTGTTGTGGAAGCTGAAAGTTTGAGAATAGTAATGGTTGATCTATTGGGAGGCTGTACTTTAATTTTGGTTTTACTGTGATATCCTGGACTGATTAGGATTCTGTTTACTGTCACAGCCAATTTCACAGCATAAGCGCTATATTGTGCGAAATGGCAGACCCCTTTTGGTATGTTTTGGTTATATAGGTTTTGTAACAGTTGTTGTTTCCCTGCTTTTGAATGTTTGGTCTTCTTAGATTTCTATTCCTTACAATTATAGCAATTTTTGTTCAGCAGTAATTATTGCCTGTGTTACATCAGGTACCAACAAATCCTGTTGCACTGCTTACAAGCAAACTCCTTTCTTCACAATCAAAGGTTTGTTTCAGGGGAAAAAAATGTTTTTCTGTCACTTCAGATCTTGTTGCCTTTGTTACATCCTTTTTTTCTTTTCTTTTCTTTTGTTTTTTTAGTGATGTTTGTTACCTGTTCAAAACATATCACAGAGAAGTCTTCATTTATCTAGATTACCGGTAAAAGTTTTCCCACTTTCTTTCTTTGCAGTTCCAGGTCATTTTTGAACCATTCATGTGGAAAAAGAATGATCCAGCTAATGTGCATGGTGAACATGCAGAAGAAAGGTATGGTAAACCTCCTTTAATGGAATCATATATCTAAAGAATTTTGCGGCTTTTTTTTTTTTAAAAAAAAAAAAAATTGTATGACAAGAACAGCATCCTTAGCATGTTGATGTTTTCTTTCTGGCAGTGTTGGCAGTTTCTTTCAGCGTCATTTTGGTAAAGAGGTACATGTCATATTGTAATACCGACTCATTTGAAATCTCTGTTCATGATCAACGTTGTTGATACAGCACAGAACATCCTTCTTGCAGCAGAGTCTAAAAAGGAATCCTTGGAATAGAAATTTTATTTATATATAATAAACATCATTATTAATTTGAAGGTTGTGGACTATCTTATTGATCCTTTTGTTGCGGGTACAAGTGCTGGAGATCCCGAATCTCTTTCTGTGAGTAGTACTCTCTGTTTTCAAATACTTCTATAGTATTTTGTGCATTCAATTTGCTTGTTAAGATCAATATTGGTTAAGTGGATAATTGTTCCAATATTTCCATCATGATCTGAACTATTACTTTACCCAGAAAAAATATACTGAAAAGGGAATTACTTTTAGTGCTGACTGATTTAAGATAAACTCTGCTTTAAGAACGTAACATATTGTGATCAAAGTCCACCAAAGCTTTTCTGTTAAACTTGCTGCATTTATCTTGTGGGACACGATAAAATCTGAAAATTCATGACATCTTGCGTTGTGCTTGCTGAAGTCCAAGAAAGAATCAATTGGGTTCTGTAGCACTAGCTTTGACAAATTATGATTTTCACAATCACTTCAATTTTTTTAAAAAGTTGGCTGTCATCTGAACAGTACTTGAACCCAAACTGGTTTCCAAGATTATGTGTTCAAACCTATATGTATTTTGTTCTTCTATCTCTTGCACTTTGTTGTTGCTGAGCCGTTTAGTGCCTACTCTGAGCTCCCAGTCACAAGAATCTCTTAAATTGGCTGTGCTTTAACGTTAATTGTATCAGTTTTGGAATTTGGCATATACTTCAGTTGTGATTTGAAACTGTTAGTGCTAATTAGTTCTTCGAAGTTCTAATTGCCTGGATCTTGTCTTTGATTATTTTCTTTCTTGTACTTCAATCAGATGCACTATTCTTTTCCAGAGCTATGGAACTTAGAGAAAAGGTAATGCTTTGCAACTAGTGCTGGTAAATAAATTTCGATGGTAATACTTGAAATTTTTCTTAAAACAATTTTTCTCTAATTGAACTTTGTATTATAATCGGCAAGATTATTTGTTAAGTTTCACAAAATTGCATCATCGTATGTCTGTGCGTATACCAAAGCCTTACAGTTATAAGTGGTTGAAATTTGAGCATTGGAGCTGCGTGAAACTTTTGGGAATGAAATAAATTTGGTCTTGATAGGAATTCCTGTGTCCTAGGTTTGGCTCTCTTATAGCTGGGGCTTTGCAATCGAAGTTGTTTGTCAAAAAGGAAAAAACTGGAGGAACTAAGGGTGCATTGGGAAACAAGAAACCTAAGCGGGGTTCGTTTTCTTTCTATGGTGGCATGCAGGTATTGAATCTTTGTGCAAGTTTGCTCTTAACATACCTGGATTTTAGTCCTGATGTGGGTACATTGGCTGTATGAACTTGTTATTTATACCCCTAATGCATCACCTTGCATATGAATTCTGTGATGTATCCAGTGCAGACTCTGACTAATACACTGTCGAAAGAGCTTGGCAAAGATAACCTGAAATTGAATACAGAGGTTTTGTCATTATCTTACTGTCATGGCGGAAGTTCCTCATCAGACAAGTGGTCAATCACTTGTTCTTCTAATCAGGACACACACGTTGTAGATGCTGTAATCATGACGGTTAGTATGTTTTCCGTATTTATCCCTTTCCCCATCCTTTATAAAATAGATATTGCACATTATGCGTAAATGTCTATTAACATGATTAAAAGGTTGTGAGTACAACATTAAAGGTAAACTAGGAGATGACATGGATGGGTAATGATGTCTTTTTCTTTTCTTTTCTTTTCTTTTTTGGGGGGGGTTACATCCAGTAAAAACGAACACACAACAGGGGACAGGAAATGATGTGAATGTGTGATGATGCTGCAACTGTTAAGAAAAGTCTAAACTAGGACAAAACTAACCCCCCCCCCAAAAACCCACAGAGAGAGAGAGAGAGAGAAGAGAAAAAAACTGCAGCTTATTCTGGGATAATCAATTAAACATTTTAGTTTAACACGCCTCAAGTTGTTGCATACTACTCATTGACCGTTGAACCTGGAATACCTTACGTGTCTGTGTCATTGGTTAAATTGTTTGTGCCGTTTGATTTTACTGAGAGTGGGGATCTTTTAGAGTATAGAGTATTGGAAATGATATTTCTCATTGCTTGAAATAAAGTATAATTTGTATTATGGTATTCTTGTGAACTTTACCAAAACCATGGTGTATATCTATGGGAATCTCATTTAATGGGATCTGAAGTCTAATATTGATTTAAAAACTCGCAGCAATTTGTGACTATAATCTCCTGTGACTTCTAAGCGGCGGTATTTGGTCATCAGTTCTTGTGGCTCTGTTTTCCTTTTCTAGAAATGGGATAAGGACCTTGTTCCACGGCTACTTAAGTTTATAAGTTTATTCTAACCTTTCATTTTTCTTATGGGTTCATGCTCACCGCAAACTGTTTCTTGAAAATCAATTTCTGACATTGGTTTGTATTGCCATAGGCTCCTCTATCTAATTTCAAAGATATGAAGATTACAAACAGGGGAAACCCCTTTTCACTTGATTTTCTTCCTGAGGTATACTTCATTTCAACTCAACACTTTTTTTTTTAATGTACTTCACTCATTAATTTTGACATACGCTTGGTGATTTCTTCTCTTCCGCTGGCATAATTTCTCCTTTAAAGAGTTTTCAAAGAAAGCTTACGGCTTTGCTGCTTTGTAAGCAGTTTGTGAATGTGGAAGCTTCTTTTGAGCATGATTTGGAGTTTGGCAGCCCTCACCCTAAGAGAATGTGTCCATCAAAATTGGCTGATTATATTGTGCCTTTTGTTAGTCATGGTTTTTCCAATGGTGTTTCATATTGCAGGTCACCTATATGCCGCTATCTGTCATAATTACCACCTTTAAGAAGGAGAACGTTAAGAGACCCCTGGAGGGCTTTGGAGTTCTTGTTCCTTCTAATGAGCAACAACATGGTTTAAAAACCCTTGGTAACGCATCTTAAGTCTATTTTCCAATAAAGTAGAAATAACTTCAAATTATTTTCTGATGTAGCTGCTCAATGCATCATGCTCTTCAGGCACACTATTTTCCTCCATGATGTTTCCTGATCGTGCACCCAGTAATTTATATCTTTATACAACCTTCATTGGGGGAAGTCGAAACAGGGAACTGGCACATGCTTCAACGTAATTTTACTGCAGTTTTACTTGTGCATATTTGGATAAACATGCCTAAGTGACACAACGTTTTCTTCTACTATGAAAATATACACAAACCTACTTTGAAGTCAGAACATCACCAAAATACCCTCAGCAATCAGATTTTCTTTTACAGAAAAATGAAACTTATGACAAATTATTTTTAGAATTTTCATTTATTTTGTGCTGATTTTTTCCCTAAATTCAAGAATTTGATTTGTTAATGTTGATCATTTGCATATCTAAAAGATTGTATATAATATAAGTGAAAAATGCGAGCCGTTTGGTTAAAATTATTGTAATTGCAACTCATCTTTTGTTATACAATGTAGCCAATCTTTTGTTTTCGGGGAAGGAGAATGTAATTTTTTGGAACAGAAAGGAGGATTATGTAATTTGAAATTCTTATAGCAGAACTGAGGGAGTGGCTTCCCTGGATACCTTGTGAAACGAGACATATTCCTCTCATGTTTTCTCTGTCCTTTTCTTTAACCACTGGCTTGTTTGCTTTGCTGCAGTGATGAGCTAAAGCAGGTTGTTACCTCTGACTTGAGAAAGTTGTTGGGAGCAGAGGGGGAACCCACTTTTGTCAAGTACGGCATTAATTTCTTTTTCCCGTAGTTCTTGTTCTTAGCAACGTCTCTGCTACTTCCTCTACGCCTGTCTAACTGTTCTTATGACTCTAATTATGCTAAATGGCAGCCATTTCTATTGGAGCAAAGCATTTCCTTTATATGGGCATAACTATGGGTCAGTTCTAGAAGCAATTGACAAATTGGAAAAGGATCTTCCCGGATTTTTCTATGCAGGTAAACTGCTCAAAACAAAGTCCTGGATAACCATTTATATCTGACCGAGAATGCCTACGTTGGTCAAGAATAAAGCTACTAACGTGAACTTTAAGTGGAGCCACCTGTGCATTCATGCAGATTTCTTTTCTATATTCCTTAGATATGGTAGAGAAATGATGAGAACATGCGCAAAGAAAAGAAGAGATTTCTCCTACTTGCTAGTTGGAGTGCTTTTTTATATAGAATATTTCTGAAGTTGTGAATATTTCGTATGATAGGTAACCACAAAGGTGGGCTCTCAGTTGGCAAAGCAATTACTTCGGGATGCAAAGCAGCTGATCTTGTAATTTCCTACCTAAACTCCGCTTCAGAAGACGGAGTGCCTAGTGATTAGCAAGTGACTAGTATTGTAATCCTAGATTTCACTAGTTTACGCTTGCTATTTTCCATACTGTTAACAATTTCAGAATTGTTCTCCTTGCACCCTGCAACTATTCTCCATTCTGGATTTGGGGTAGGAAGCGAAAGAAATCTTATGCAGAGAGAACCTTCCGCCCAAAAACAAAAGGGCAAAGAAAAAGAAGGAAGAAAATGGGCCCATCGTTATTTTAATCTCCTCCCCTCCCAAAGAAAGCAAAAAATAAAAGAGAGAAAGAATCTGATTCTTTGTCTTCTTCGGATGCACTTTTAAAATGCTCTCGTTTCTTATATAAAGTGTTTTAAACATGTATTTTGTTAAAAAAAAGCTATCTCAACATTTTAATTGTATCTTTAGTAATTTAAACAACATAAATATCATTCATTAAAAAAAAAATGGAATGAGTAGGTGGAAATTTAGGAAACGACTGCTTCATTGTTGTGCGCTGACGCCGGCCTGCAATTAAACTCTGTGAAGGCGTTCATCTGTAACATCTGGAAGGGCTCAACACACGTGCCTCTATTGTAGAATTCAGAAGCCAGGACGTACTTGTTGTCTTCCTGAATCCTGCCATGCCATTTATTTTCACAAACTTCTAAACAAAAAGAACTTTATAGATAATGGTAATCTAAATTTGTATGGAGTTGATGGCTTCTCTTTCATACCCCATGATTTAAACAACCAAATCAAAAGAAGGAAAGGGACTTGATCTTTGAAAAAGAGATCTCAGCTCAAGCTCAAGCCCAAGCTACTTTGCTCAGCGTCTGAATTACCAGCCAGCTAGCATTCCATATTCTCCTCTGTTACTTTAACTAGGCCTTTAACGATAAAAGCTCATCCAGCACCAAATTTAATGGCATAATCATCCGTATAAACTTAAACCTACAATGGCTGATTTCATTATTCATAGGTGACTTTTGAAACCAGCTTTAAGCCTCATATTGTTCACTTCATTCACCGGAGATCATTCGGCACATTGAAATCTCTATCCGATTTTTTAAACTCATTACACTGTTCGTTTGCCCATCTTCTGGATGCATCGTCATATATTATTCATGGATTGTCCGTGAAGACAATTCATGTACCGGGAACAATAAAAGTGGTCCTATATGCTTCTTCTTACAAGTCAACATCATCTTTGGTCTATTTCTTGCGCAGAGGACATCGTTTCCACAGTTACCTATGTCGTTGGACTCCCCTAGAAAATTAAAGTTGTCTTTCAAGTAATAGATGCCTCGCATTTCAGTGATGCCACCAACACCAAATATCTCTCTTGAAAGCAAAAGCCTCCCTTTATCGGTGTCTGATACATGTCTCTGTCTTGGACCATAACAACCGGATCATGTTGCCTCTCTCTTACTATTCAATTATCAATGCCACCATAGCCTATAAATTATAATTATTTGCCGCCTGGGCTGTTATTTGACCCAATGTTAGACAGTTTTGTTCTCCAAGTTGGCTATGGTCAAATTAAAGAGTTAAAGTTGGTGGTATTGATTCAAAGATTTAACTTCTTTTTCTTTTGGCAAAGAGATGATATCCCATGATTATTATTTTGTCATCTTGTGTGTTTTTAAAACATTTCAGGATAAATCATGAAAAGGATATAGATTTGGGGGGTATGACTTTTTAAAAAGTCGAGCTTTCAACTATTTCATTATGCTTAGATGTCCCCCCAAAAAATATCTAATTATGCTTCAAAATACTTGCATGGTTATTATGCACCTTTAACTAGGATGCTCATGTATATGATTTTGAGAAGTCAAGTTCATGTTTGAACAAACTGATCGATGACAAACAAAATGATTGTTGGGGAACATGGCATGTTGAGGCCCAAAGATACAGGATTTTATGGATGAAATACGATGTCGTTTTCATGCAAAATTAGAGTGGGTGTTTTGTCCGCATCTAAGACGGGCCTAAACAGTGATAATTTATTACTAGATTTTATATTTTATATCGACGGTGACGCTTCAGTGTCAATTTTATTGCAACAATCATTTAGAACATCGTGCGGTTTACCAAAAAAAAAAAAACTCTATTGAACAACTTACAGAAGTGACTTTTAAGGCTTAAACATGATATTTTAATTCTTACTTCACGCTCACAATTTGTCAGTTCTATCAGAATAAATGGAATTAACCATGCTAAAAACTTTTTCAGCACTGCTTCCCTGGGGAATTGTTTTTGACGCTGATAATATTGGCATTTAATTATTGATATCCTAAAATGGCACAAGTTTTTATGGACGCATTATGCATATGTCCCTCTTCTATGTTCATGATTAATTGTGAGCTGGAAAGATGTCATTAAATCCTCCCAAAAAAAAAAATCAATTCAACTACTCTCATTCGCTGTGAACATTGATGTAACTAATGACAGATGATTGAGTTGACTCAGCCGGTCTCCGAAAAACATTGGCATCATTCTCCATGGCTTAATCATGAAAAGAACTGCGTATAATATAAACATAATGACTCAATCAACCAGATATTCCATGCAATCTTCTCACACAATAAATCTCTTTTGTCATTGTGTTTGCAGTGAAAAAAGAAAAAGAAAAAAGAGAATGATAAGTTATATTCCGGTATTATATATCGCAGTCATCATCTGGGTTTGAGACTCCCATAACATCCTCCAGTTTTTTCATACCACTCCCTCATTTGTCGTCTTCAATGGCTCACAATCTCGGTCCATTCTCTTGGCTTGTCATCCTCCACTAGTGCCAGTACCAGTAATGGCTGAAGGGTCAATTAATACACATTGCAGTAAATGCCTCCTCAGTGTCCCTAGTACAGCCTTTTAATCTCAACTACCTTCCTTCCCGTCGAGTACATCTCTTCATATAGCGCATTCATTATCATCCCGAAATTAAACTGCATTTCTTTCTTGTTGACTCTTACGTGACCGTTTTGGTGGGTCGTTGTTTCTTGTTGTCTGATTAACATTCAAGTTCTTTAATTTGCGTCGTGGACTTCACGGAATTCTTCACATTCCCTTTTCTTCCTCATGGTTTGGATTAGCTTGTTGGAGCATGCATAAAAATTCAGCAGCTTAGAGGAATCTCCGTTGCCTTCTCCAATAAGTGGGTGCGGAGCAGGCGATGAATTGCTGAAGTTGCTGCTCATGAATCTTCTTCCTGAGTAGGATTTTTTCAGAGTAATTTACTTTTGCAATGGGAATATTTCAAGCGTAGTTTCTTTTAATCATTTTCTATCAGGCTTCTTTTGTTTCTTTGACCATTAATAGCCCAAAACTTCTGTTAATATCGATGTTCGCCTTCAAAAAACAGTGTGCCTAATGCTCCAAACTGGTTCAATGAGACATTTTCACCTTCTTCTAGTTCTTTCCTGGTTTTTGTCTATCGAAAGTAGCTATGAACTTCAGGCTGCTCAAACTCAAGTCCTGTTACAGTTAAGGAAGTATCTGGAGAACCCTAAGGCGTTGGAAGTTTGGGAAAATTATTATGGAGACTTCTGTAACATATCTCCATCTGCACGTATGAGCATTAAATGTGAGGACAATTCTGTGAGAGAGCTTAAAATCATGGGAGACAAACCTGTGAAGGTCAAAGAGTTCAATGGGTTCGCAATTCCTAATCACACATTGTCTGAGAGCTTCTCCATTGATTCTTTTGTCACCACATTGGCCAGGTTAACCAGCTTGAGGCTTCTTAGCTTGGTGTCACTGGGGCTTTGGGGGCCGCTCCCTGATAAGATTCATCGATTATCTTCACTTGAAGTTCTGGACTTGAGCTCAAATTTCTTATACGGTACAATTCCACCAAAAATATCTACAATGGTAAAGCTTCATACACTAACCATTAATGCCAATTATTTCAATAGCACTATGCCGAATTGGTTTGATTCATTATCTAATCTACAAGCTCTGAGTTTGAATAGCAACCGCTTGAAGGGTTCATTCCCCACTTCACTATGCAAAATTAAAATGCTTACTGACATTTCCCTGTCTCACAATGACTTGTCTGGTAAATTGCCTGATCTGAGTACTCTCACTGGCTTACATGTGCTGAATTTAGGAGATAATCATTTAGACTCTGAACTACCATTGATGCCCAAATCAGTAGTCACGGTTCTCCTAGGTAAAAATTCATTTTCTGGCAAGATCCCCGAGCAGTTCGGTGAGCTGGTTCAGCTTCAACATCTAGACCTTTCATCAAATCATCTCAGTGGGATTCCCCCATCCCCATTGTTCTCTTTGCCTAACATCAGATTCATGAATTTGGCAAGCAACACGTTGGGCGGGTCCCTTCCAAACAAACTAACTTGTGGAAGCACGCTTGGGTATGTGGATATTTCTGGTAACAAGCTAATTGGGGGACTTCCTTCTTGTTTGGCAAGCACATCAGATAGAAGAGTCGTGAAATATGGTGGGAACTGCTTAGCTGTTGATTCTCAAGAATCTCAACACCAGACGCGAGGGTCTTACTGTAAACAGCCCAGCGTGAAGAAGTTCCAGGCACTGAAAATAGTTGTAGCTGTGGCCATTGTTACTGGACTAGTGCTCATTCTTGTACTTTTTGTGTTTGGTGTTCTCTTTTGCCGCAAGAGATGCCATTTGAGAAAAACATCTGGGCAGCATGCTTTGCCAAAAAGAGTAAGAGATAATTCTGCCGCAGGGGTTTCCTCTGAACTCCTTGCAAGTGCCAGTAAGTATGTAGGTTAAGGAATATTATAGCGTATTGTTTTGATTCAGAATCAAGTTGTTAATGATGAAAAACAGCAGATATACAATAGTTATGTCTTGATTTCTATATCTTTCAGGATTCATTTCTCAGGCAGTGAAGCTTGGGGCCCAGGCTAATCCAGTCTGTCGAGTGTTTTCGATTGAAGAGCTGAAGGAAGCCACGAAAGATTTTCACGTGTCAACTTATATGGGTGAAGGCTCGATAGGGAAGGTACCATTCTCATTCAGCCACTCAAAACATGCTTTAAAAACTAAATATTTTCTGGTTTTTCGGCTTTTTGTTATACTTCAGAATGAACGAACAACGTGAAATGCTGATAAGAATTAAGAAGCACCTTCGTGTATAAAGCACGTTAGTTTTCTCTATTCCTGAAATCTTCGCTATGGCCTCTTTTAATCAAGTTTCCTGCCATATTTCAGTTGTACAAAGGTAAACTGGAGAATGGACCCTATGTAGCAATACGATCTTTGGCTATCTCAAAGAAATGCTCAACTCAAAATCTTAAAGGTCGGCTGGATTTACTCTCAAAGCTTCACCATCCTAATTTGGTTAGCCTCTTGGGTCATTGTATAGATGGTGGTGGACAAGATCATTCCAGTACCGTCAAACTTTATCTTGTATACGAGTATATACCAAATGGCAATTATCGTGCCCATCTGTCAGGTTAGTATAACATGTTAGTCCGTCAATGAATGAGTGCATAAATTTCGTCAAATGTTGCCTTCCTTCTCTCTTTCAATTTTATGGATTATCTCTCGCATGCATACAACAACAACAAGCCTTATCCCACTAGGTGGGGTCGGCTACATGAATCACACGAGGCTATCGTACTCTGTCAACAACCCAGTCCTTATATATGTTATTGACTAGAAGGTCTCGTTCAATGACTTCATTAAGCGTTCTTTTTGGTCTTCCTCTATTCCTTTTTATAGGACTCCATCTTGTCTGATCCACCCTCCTCACCGGGGCCTCCAATGGCCTTCTCTGCACATGTCCAAACCATCTTAAGCGATTTTCAACTATTTTCTCTTGGATAGGTGCCACACCTACTCTTGCTCTGATATTTTCATTTCGAATCCTATCTTTTCTTGTATGCCCACACATCCATCTCAACATCCTCATTTCTGCTACCCCGACTTTGTGCTCTTGTTTTCCCTTTATTGCCCAACATTCACTACCGTACAACATAGTTGGTCTTATCGCAGTCCGATAAAGTTTTCCTTTAAGTTTCTCAGGTACCTTCTTATCGCAGATAACTCCCGTAGCTTTCCTCCACTTTAACCAGCTAGTTTGTATTCTATGAGAAACGTCTCCATCAATTTCCCCATCCTCCTGTATAATGGATCCTAGGTATTTAAACTTTGATACTTGAGGAATGATTTGCTCTCCCATCTTCACCTCCAAATCCCTATTGCCTTGCCTCCCCCCAAAATCACAATGCATATATTCTGTTTTGTTCCTGCTTAAACGGAAACCTTTTGACTTTAAAGTCCTTCTCCATAACTCCAATCTAGTGTTAATCTCTTCTTTTGATTCCGCCATGAGAACTATATCATCAGCGAAAAGCATGGACTTAGGGATTCTTTCTTGAATAGGTTCAGTTAAAACATCCAAAACAATATTGAACAAGTACGGACTCAAAGAGGATCCTTGATGTAGGAAACAAGGTATAAAGTAAACCTTAACCAGCGCGAAACTTGGTATAAAGTTTACCATGAGCCATGCCACAGCCATTAGCTGCGCATACCATATCTTTCTGCCTTGAGGGTATCACCTAATAATCTTTCTGTATCATGACATTCAGAATTTTCTCCAGAGAAGGCACTCAAGTGGTCTGATAGATTGGCAATTTTAACTGGGGTTGCCAAGGCAGTGCATTTCTTACACACTGGAGTTATACCTGGCTGTTTTAGAAACCAATTAAAGACAAACAATATCTTGCTCGATGAACATCACATTCCCAAACTAAGTGATTATGGAATGTCTCTCATCAGAGAAGAGATTGAAAAACTCGAGGTACATTTGCAAATCTTTAATGCAGCTGTTTATACTTAATTTGAAATTCTTGATCCTTGAGTGACTCTGCTGCTTTCTTTTTGTCTTCTTTATGCAGGCCAACGGAGAGAGCCCAATATCGTGGTATGAATGCCAATTGGAGTTTATTTTATTTATAGCAGAACGCCTAGCCCGCAGAATTTTTAGCTTGTGTTGGGTTGGGATGCTAGTTTCAATTCTGCACTGCATTCTATTGCCATAACTGCCATTATTACCATCAACTCTGCTCTTTTCAGTTCTAGTATAATGATAATTTTAAATTATCACTGTCAGACTCATTGTCACTACATTACCTCAGCATTACCAACACAATGATCCTGTATTGATTCATCTTCCTTTCTTATAAGTAATTTTGGCGCCTCTGGGTAAATTTGTGTTGATAAATAGCATACTAATGGTTCAATTAAAATTTTGTTGCTTTTCAGCCAAAAGACATCGATGGAGGATGATGTATATAATTTTGGATTCATATTGTTTGAATCGCTTGTTGGAACCATAGCAAGTGAAAAAGGAGAAGAATATTTCCTGACTGAAAAGGTAAAGAGAAGCTTTTGTTTACTGAGTGTATGAATATGTTCTGTTTCTATGCCAGTTTTATCTTCACCATCAGAATACGTTCCCAACTTCTTTTGACATGATGTGAAAACAAATTTCACCACCTGCAGCACGATGCACCTTGGTTAAATCTTATTGGTTTATTGATGTCAGATATCTGCTATGGCAAAGAGCCTAATCTGTTGCCTCCTTGTGGCCTAAGTAATCTAAATTCCTTAGAAGTCCCAAGATATTGATTTCTAGGATCACCTATTGATCAAAAGTTTTTGGGGACTTTGATTCTCTTTAATGCGTATAAAGATTGCTGATCTTCCACGAGTTGTTGATGAAGTTGAGTTCTGGTGTTGTGCACCACAGGCATCCTTTGGGAGTCAAGATGGTCGAAGAAAGATAGTGGATCCGATAGTGTTGACCACCTGCTCTCAAGAATCATTATCAATTGCAGTATCTATAACAACCAAATGCATATCCCCAGAACCATCATGTCGTCCCTCCTTTGAAGATGTCCTTTGGAACTTACAATACGCGGCTCAAGTCCAGGCCACCGCAGATGCAGATCAGAAATCAGATTCTACCTGATATAGCATTCACGTTGACGATATCTTCTTCCATATAAGGAAAATGTCAGATCTTAATCTTCAATCTTTCATGCAACCATTAATGTAAAGTTGATATTACGTTTCATTTGTTGGAGTGTCCCTGACATGATGAAAGAGCTAGTTAGAACTCATATCCCTTCTAGATACAGCAAAAATTTAGGCTAATGATGAAGCAAATCTTGAACTTGACTAATAACTGCTAGAGTCAAGTCTGCTATAAATGAAATTGGATGGAAACTGGAAACTGGACACTGCGGAGGTTGAATTAGAAGGAGTTTTAGAGACTAAGAACGTTTCAACTTTCAAGTGGATGTATAGTTTTAGTCTTTGAGATATCGTGTCAAATTGTAAATTCTTCCATCAGTGTTAAAATTTTCTTATTGCCTTTCTTCAAACTTTTGTTTGATTTCCCTAGTTTTAGAATAACGTTTAACAACACAACCATGTTCAAATAACATGATGTGATATTCTGCATATATTCATGTCACCGGAATCCTATTTCTATATTGATTGATATTAATCTTCAAGCCTTTTTTCTCCTGTTGGTTTGATAATGCAAAAGTCAATTATCAGTTTGTCACTTGTTGAAAAGCAGGGCAAAAGGTGGAACTGATTATTAATAATAGGACTAAAGTGCTAACAGATGGACTGAGAGTCAAAATGCACAATTAATTGAATTTTCGGCAAGAAAGAATTTAGGAAATATGAAACGTGAAAGAAAAGGAAACGACGTTAATATGTTAACTACATTGTGTCATGATGTGGGAGTGAATATCTCAGACCACCTTCCGTGTATGTAAAACCTCCTAACACTGCGTCACCCACAAGACTACCATAACCTTGTTCACCATTTCAGCTAAGCGTAACTTTTATGATGAGGCTGCTCACCTAAGCCTGCAGTTTGATTACAGGTGGCCTTACGATACACTACAAACAAGGTTTTCTAGTTAGAACTGGAGATAGGAGTTTACTTAATTACAGAAAATGATGGTTAAATATTTTTAAAAATAGAATCTTTACAGAAACAAGTCATTGGTGATGGCCCTTAAAATTATTACTTGTATTTTCTGACATCATAATCTGAATGTCATAAAATTTCTTTTTATTTAGAAATTATGAAAATATTTGAAACGTCCTTGTGAATGTGATTAATTTCATTTTTTTTATTCACATCATCTTGTTAGAGTGACTTTTGAGAAACCAAATAAAACATTTTAATAAAATTGTTATCTCAACAAGTTGAAATTATTGGTCAATAATTACATGAATTTCCATTAGATCAACAACTGAATGTAAAAGCTATTTTTTACTGAAAGGTATCATTCAGAAATTGAATAGAAAATAAAATTTGAAGGATTAACTTAATAAAATACTCCGTAACAATATAAAAAATTTTTTTCCCTAAAGCATAGGTATCCTCCTATTAGAAGCAATCCTATTTAAAGTAGTATCGGGTACTAAATATGGATACCTCTCTTAGCAGGGATTCGAATCTTGATTTATCACGTTGTGGAGAATATAAAAAAAAATTTAAATCACTAACTAATTCTAAAAATATACACACGCTTTCCGACCCAAACAAACACACTGGGCTTATCGATTTGGACCAAGATGGGGGCGTGCGCCCAGGGTAGATTAGTAAACAGATATTAGTGGGCACCACAATCAGAATCCATTTTCCTGGACCGCCACTGTTTGGGCACGCTTCTTCCCCACGATCATAATGTCGGCGCGCAGGAGTCCCCCCCTTCGGGCCCCGCCTGCTTTGCGTATTCATCACGCGCCTCTCCGCTTTTTCTGCTCTCTTGTTGGTACGCTACCCGACGCCACCATTTTTTTGTTTGGCCTCAACAAAACCAACTGAGCTGTTCGCTCATTAACTAACCACTAGTGTCCCTGTCCAATCCACAATAACAACCAGGGCCACTCTCCGTAAACTCGCGTGACAATCACTTCCCACTCCTTATTTATTTTTACTTAACTATTATTCTAAAATAATTTAATCCAAACTTTAGATTAATGCAGGGATGTACCCGCTTTTCTGCTTGGCCATCACCATCATGATCCCTAATGCAACGTTATATGGTCCTAATACGCTTTTCACTTGCCGCTAGACGACCTCGTTTCGGCTTCCACAGCTCTCCCTTTTTGGTCATCATAATAATGATTATAATATAATATTCTTGGCCACTTTATTAAGCTAACTTTGTTTTATACTTCCACCATGAAAATTCTATTCTCTGCCGTCAGCTCTGCTTTCCACTATTTTCCTCTTCTTTTATTTTCTTTTCTGTATTGTCCGGACGTTCTCGGTTCTCTTATGAAGCAACGAAGTTTCACTCTCACTGTGAGATTTGTGCGAGTCTCGGAAAATGGAGATCCATTCTGATGGCAGAGCAATGAACCCTTCCAGTCCCCGTTAAGCTCTCGCAGCTCTCTCTAGTCTAATTCGGTGTCTATATTCCACAGTAACACTGCCAGCACCTGCCGTAAGGTCTGCATTGATCTGTTTGTTTATAGTTTGTTTTATCGCATTCTTTTTTAGTCCTCTTGAGATGAATATAGTTGTGTGTTTACTAGATAACTTGTAACTATGTTCCATGGTCCGCATTTTCAAGCTTCTGCACATTTTGTGCTTCAAACCGTGACCTTCTGCACCAATTCTGTGAAACAATGGGCCGATCTGATGCTTCTGTCCTAGATTTTGAAGTTTGACCACAAGTTCTCCATTTGTTTTTTATTCCTTTTTCTTAGTTTTTACTTTTTATCTGCATTTCATTACTTGTCTCTGTGTAATCTGTTTCTAGATTTCCAGCTCTGTTTGCTGGTTTGTCTTTATCGGCATCTCTACTACAACCAGTCATTGAGAAATTACAAGCTTCTTTGTTCTATTATACATAAAGCTCGAAAATGCTTCCTGATGTCCTGCATTTCAACTGTTCTTCCTCACAGGGCTTGAAACTCTAAATATTCTCTGACGTTTAAGTAACCAAGTTTATCTGGGAGGGACTCATTACTTCTGCGGCCATGGTTTCTGGCATGAAAGCAAAGAGCAGGAGAAGTGCTAGTGTTAAAATTAATTACCTCATTCACATCGAGAAGATTAAGCCTTGGCCTCCGTCACAAGCTCTAAGATCCGTTCGTTCTGTACTGATACAATGGGAGAATGGTGAACGCTATTCAGGTTCTACCAGTCATGTTGTCCCCTCGCTGGGTTCTGATACAGACGAAGGAAAAATCGATTTTAACGAGTCGTTTAGACTTCCTGTAACTCTGTTGAGAGACATGTCCATCAGATGTGGTCATGCTGATGTATTCCAAAAGAATAGGTTGGAGTTCAACTTGTATGAGCCCCGAAGAGATAAGACTCTTAAGGGTCAGTCGCTGGGAACTGCCATCATAGACTTGGCAGATTATGGTATACTTAAGGAGACCTTGAGCATTAGTGCCCCGATAAACTGCAAGAGGAACTACAAAAATACAGATCAGCCACTTCTGTTCATAAAAATTCAGCCTGTTGAAAAGAGTCGCGCTAACTCCTTGTCAAGGGACAGTTTGTCAAAAGCGGCGTCAAAGGACGTTAATGGTGGTGACTCAAGATTGATGAACGAAGAATACGCTGAAGAAGCTGAGAGTGCCACTTTTTCTGATGATGATGATGTTTCTTCACATTCATCTGTGGCAGCTCTTGCTTCTGCCCTGGAGGCCAATAAGTGTATCCCGGCTGAACTTGTAGAGGTACTCATGTTCCCTTCCATTCTTTTATTGATAGCATCATGGATTTTTCTTTTACATTACCTAGATCAATTAGCATGGTTGCATAGGCCTTCACTCTCTCTAACTCAAAGGATATGTCCATTCAAACCCCCCGGGGGGGGACTTGTTAATCCCTTTCCATGAACAAGCATTTTTCAGGATCATATTATGCGGCATAACATTTAAAAAAAAAAAAAAATTGATTGGGACATGTTGCAATAGGACAAACTATTGAGAATATTGCATCCTTTGTGTTTGCTGGAAAAGGATTATAGAGCACCGTCAGAGGACTGTCACCTTAAACTGTCCTTCAGAATTAATGTTATCATAGGACTGTCACCTTATGCTGATTGAATCTTATTGAAGAATACTGTTCTGTTTAATATAGTTATTGTAATTTAATGGCAGAATGGATCAACTCAAAACACTGGTAGGGATGACAAGGAGCGTCTGGCAGGGCTTGAAAAATCAAACATGATGCCACAAGATACATACCAAAAGCTGGAGAGGAGTTCATCTAGCACATCGTCTTTGGATATATCATCTGATCTCGGGAGTCCGGTAAATGGTCATGCTTCTTCTAATTCCACTTATTGTAATTCAGTGACCACTCAAAAACATGCTGTTACCCCAAATGCTTATTCTTCTTATCCATCTTTGGCTCATGACAAATTAGAGGCAGATTTCAAGATCAAGACAAGAAATAGTGGTAGTAAACATTCAGATGAGGAGGTTCATGAAAAGTTTGTTAATCATAGAAATAAAGTTACAGATGTTCAAATGCACAGCAAGAATCCAGATGCTGTAAATTGTGATGTTTCTGAAGTCATTGATAAATTCAATAGGATACATGAGGAAGGTGACAAATATTGTGTGAAGGAGGAAGGAGATGGTAAATTTTACAATGGTTATGTTGAGGACAAACGTGGAACTGAGAATTCTAGTTTGGATAAGAAAAGCAACGCAGAAAATGAAAAATCAGCAGATCTAGTTGCCAAAGATCACGCCTTATTGAGTGGCAGCTCATATCCCTTAGGCGGGACAAATATTACAAGAAGTGAAAGATTAAAGCATGTAAAGTCAGTGAGGTCACCAGCAGAATCAGCTAGGAATACAGGATCCCTCGTTAGTTATCATAATTTGGATGTGAAGGAAATTGGCATTGTTGGAGATGCACAAAACAGTGGAGGAAACATGAGAGGCGGTAGCAAAAAAGATGCTAAAATTTATCCAAAGGAAGCGAGAATGACCATTCTAGACAGCAAAGTCGAGCATTTAGAAAACAAGATAGAGATACTTGAAGGAGAGTTAAGAGAAGTTGCAGCGATTGAGGCTTCTTTATATGCAGTAGTTGCAGAGCACGGAAGCTCCATGAGTAAGGTCCATGCTCCAGCTCGGCGTCTTTCTAGGCTGTATCTCCATGCTTGTAAAGAAAACCTTCGAGCAAGAAGGGCTGGGGCAGCTAAAAATGCTGTTTCTGGGTTAGTACTTGTTGCTAAGGCATGTGGAAATGATGTCCCAAGGTATAC